CTGTACCAGGTCTGGACATCCTGTAAGTCTACTCAAGTAGCAAAACAGACAAAGAGCCGTCTGACTGATGAGTGTTCAAGTTTCTGAGGTTTTAACATGTCCGCTTGCTGAATTAGAAAAGACATTATATGAGTTGTTTAAGACCTATGAATGAAAGCAGTTCCTAGAAATGAACTACAAGAACTCAAGAAAATATGGGACGCTTGTGATGAGGAGCTGGAGCTACCATCTGACTGAAATAGAAGATGGGATTAAACCGACATTGAAACTGCTTCATAATCCAGGGATTTAGGGCGCATTCACATCAGACCTGTTTAGGTCTGCTTTAAACCAACTCCAGTCCATTTGTCTAGAAATCCGGTTTGTTTGGGGAGGTGTGAATGCGTAATCGAACCATGATGTGGACTAAGAAAGCGAACCCTGATCCACCTAAAAACTCTGGTCTCGGATTGGTTGAAGTGAATTTTAGTGCGGTTCGAATACAAATGTGAACGCCAAACGGGCCGGAGAACGCTCCAAAAGCAGGAACTGGACTATAGCACAGAGCATTCTGGGTAACACAAGCAAAACAAAAGCGCAGGTCTAACAGGAGAAATGGCTCTTGGACTTTTACCAAAGACAAAAAGAAATCCTGCAATCGCTAAAATCTGATGCTACTCCGTTTTTGTTTACATTTTGAAAGTTGCATTCAATGTTTTCTTCAGTTGTTCTGGGTGCAGCGCCCCCAGCTGGCGAGGAGGGGAACAGGTTCCTCAAATGGTTTTCAGTGTGAATGTGAATCATACCAGATCAATATGTAACAAATGTTGCAATTTTGGTCATCTATCAAATCGATGATAGATGACCTCGTAAGCCTCATAGTTTACGAGGCTATGAGGTGTGAAAACACCCTTCAACTACATAAAAATACACACAGATCAAACAAATAAATAAAGAAAGAAAAGAAAATATGATTTTTTTAAACCACTTATTTTTTATCTATGAATTTATGTAAGAAATAATTTTATCATACACATTGTTTGCTAATTTTTTGTAAAAAATTGCTTATTTGCAGATTTTTTCATACTTCATATCTAAAATATTTGAAAGAGAATTTTATTTGGTGAAGCTGAAATAATTAGGGACAACGCTACTTGACTCGCTGCTGGCTGGCATTTCCCAAGCAGCCAATCGAGAAGCACTTTTCATTTTCATTGGTGCCAATTGGTTGAACCCCGGTGGTGCTAAGGTGGCTTCATAGGTGTCAACCATTTGTAACCACCTGCAAATACCAGAGGGTCACCTGTAAAAAGGAGGCACTCAAAAATGATACACCAACTCAAATCTGGACATCATGGTGGAAAATTAGAAAAGTGAGGCGAGAATAGCGACGTTTGTTGCATTCCCATGGTGCAATGCGGTGCTTTAAGCGGCAGACCCAGCGTCCGATGAATTTATGAGTTTAAGAACTCTTCAACCAGAAATGAAATCAATAACATAGATGTAAACTGCAGCTGATGTGCCGTCATGGCTGAGAGGAACACACAGAGAGCAATCAGAAAGCATAATGTGAGTCATAAACATAATGGATGATTTATAAAGTTTATGGGACGCAGGCACTTAGAGGCTACGATTGATTTACCACGTTTAGTGTTCCTGTGCTAAAAGGGAAGAAAGGTTTTTACAGTCTGGTCAATGAATACCTGCATGAGTCCAACCATTATTATCATTCTCAAGAGTTTTACCACCACGTTATTATTGGAGAACATGTAGAAGAACTTTCAAGGTAGTCAACTCCTCCTACTGGAGCAAAAGATGAGAAAAGAAGTTGTAAAAAAGACACAAGCATCAGTCTGTTTAATCTGGGAGGAAGCTAAAAACTGAAAAGAAGAATGAAGCAGGAATCTGACCATTGTTAATGGTCCGACAGAGACGGACTGTGAAAAGAAGGCAGAGACAAAAAAGGGTCCAAAAGAGGAGAAAAGCATAATGGAGACAGAGTGGAGCAGCAACAGCGAGAGACAGGAGGAAGAAATGAGAGAGAGACGGGGGGAAAGGCGAGGAAAGGGGTAAGTGGGGCTCAGAGGAAGATAAAAGCACAAAGCAAGCAAAGTAAAAACATAAACTACCACAAATTAGAGCTGCACAATGTGTCAAATCACAACTGACTGCTGTGATGCAATACTTGCTCAGCTGTCGTATTTCCACAGACCAGTGGAAAGTTTGTAGTGCTGTAAAGAAAACCGGATAAAAATTCCCTCATTTTCACACTTTAGTAGCTGCTCAATGGAAACATGCCAATTTAAAAAAAGAAAAGCTGGCATTTTTTGATAAAAAGTCGTAGTGCTAGGATGAGGTAATTTTTCCACCATATCAAATTTATTGCATTTTGTTAACCTGCAATGGAAACACTTTTTTTCACATCACATGAGTCACATGACCAACAGCAGGATGTTACTGCTGGCAAAATCGACATAGATGACGACAGGAAGTGGTAGGAGGATGATGGCGTGGCATGTTTTTAATGACTTATCGTATTAACAAAATTATTCTTAGTTGTATTTCTAATTTAACTGAAATACCTCAATTGAGAAATTGAGTTTTCTCAACATTAGTGGAATTAGTGAAATAAAGTTTTGCGCACATTTCTACTGGAAACGCACCTGCTGACTTGGCAGTCTGGACTGCTCTTCAGCAAGGAAAGCAGCTGTTAGCTGTGCTAAAACTCACAAGATCACATCATCACCTAATTTGCATATTTGGCCATGTGTAAATGTATTCAAAACTACAAATTAACTTCATGAAATAATTTAATAATGAGAATACTTTCCCTGAAGCTATGCTGCATCACACAAGGTGTCGGACATGCTGGTGATATGATGGTACAGCGTTGCCTGCACACTTCAATTATGCAGTAAATAATTATTAGGAAGGGTTTAAGTAATTTTTGAAATGCAATGTTTTATTAAAATTTTATAAAAACAGATAAAGAAAGAAAAAAAAAACATTCTCAAAATATACTGTTTTTTTTTTTTTTAGATTGTTTTCTATCTGAAACAAACATCTCGGTTATATATTTTCATGTAGAGATATATGCATAAAGCTCAAACAAAAATGAAGGAATGAAAGCAGTAAAAACATTTAAAAAATACATGGCAATTCCCCAGTGTGTAGAAACTCTGCTCCATCCCCCGCCAGCCTCCACACACACACACACACACACACACACACACACACACACACACACACACACACACACACACACACACACACACAGGTATGCTGAGGGTCTGGCTTCATCACCGATCCACCAGCTGTCAAACTCCACCCCCCAGCACAGCCATGAATAATGGAGGCAGCAATGCATGCTGGGAAACATCAAGTCAGATAGGCAGAGTTACATTACAGCTCACTTACAGAAAGTGAACAATCTTTTCCCCTCTCTAAAGTCTGGTCGTCCGCTCATGTGCAAGAAGTCAGCTAAACCTGTGCTTCATTCAATGGCTGACTGGGAAATGTAATAAAATAAAACTAATAGTCATCACAAAGCATTGCAACAACATATATGTTTGATAACTAACAAATTATTAGACAAGTTTAAGTATGATTCTACTAGATCTTTTGCAAATTAACATTTTTAAAACACATCTTTGTGTTGATCTTTTAAATTTGTTGCTGAGTTAACAAACAGAAGGTCCTACAGTCTGATTTTATACATGCCACACCCTCAGCGAGCTATGTGGCTGCACAGCCACTGTTGAAAACCAACAAATTGTGATTCACACGGCTTCCAAAACTCTCACCATAAAAAAGGAATATTATTTTGTTTATCTAACTGAAAGGTTTCTGGCCCTTTAAAATGATTTCCGCTTCCAGTAATCTGCAATCTTTAGATAGCTCTGTGTCATGGAAAGGGATATGCACAGAAAGCAGCTGAAACACCAGTCAGTAAATGTTACAGTGATTAAAACAAAAGATGTATGTTTAAGAAAAAGAGTGATTTTTCTGTAACCTTTGAACACACCCAACTAACTGGACCTGCATTAAAGTATATTACGAGCTAAACCATCCAACTGTGATCTTTTCACCCAAACAATTCAAATTGTGCCACTTCCGTAAGTGATACAGAATCCAATAGTTTTCATGTTATAGTTCATTTAGTCCGACTTTCGTCATTAACAGATCTCTGACACCTCTGAGATGTGTCAGAATTCTGCACCAGAAGAAGCCAGATGCTGTAATTGACATGCGTGAACTTCAGTGATCTGTGTCCAATCAGCGCATTTCAACATGACTGTGTGTTAAAGACCTGGCATGTGTCAAAAAACGCCGCGTTGTGATGATGCTTATGCCATGTTGAAATGGACAATGATAAATCACACAGGCTGAATTCAACCACAATGATTTGTTACACTTACTGAACAGCATCAAACTCTTTAGACAGCCATCTTTTACTGCCAAGCCCCCCAGACAGGCTTTAGACTTACATCTATTATCCATTATGCTTCCTTGAGCAGATTAAGTTAGGATGGGCTACAGATAATATGTTCATTACAATTTTTTCACAAAATTATTCTTGGATAATTACAGTTTAGTCTGCTCAGTTCTGCCTATTTTGAGCTTTATTAGTTATAACTTTAAATCCAAATAAGTTGCTACTGGCCACAACCCCCAACTCAATGTTTACACTCGCACAATTATACAAACGTGCATCTTTGAAAAGCATTAGTAGAGCCTCCTGCACAACCAGCAATAATGCAACAAGTGGTTTCTGGATGACAAGTCAACAACAAAACACTTGTCTTTTACAGCAGCCATTATACAGTGCATACAACTGACCAACTGGGCTAGAGCTCAGGTTTCGATGCTAGGTGGCAGCATGGTGATTGCTTTCCAGACACCAAAAAACATTTAACAACTGGGTGTTTTTTAAGCACTTGAGCTGTTTTTAGAAGCAGTAGAGACAAATAAAAGATAAAAAAAACTTAAAATTTTGCATAATAGGTTCCTTTTAAACTTACCTGATAACGTTGAGTCCGAGTCACTCCTCAGCAGACAGGTTCAACCGCAGCCTGCAAAGAAACACAGACACAAGATAAAACATAAATACACTGCCCTTTGAGGTTCAGCTACATCAGTTTGTACATGTATTAAATTGCTCTGATTTCCAGTCTAACAGCAACAGTAAGTTGGTGTCTTGAGTAGGTCAGCAGCTTAGGGAGAAAAGATAATCTACCCAACATCAAACGGTAAAGCAAAATAAACAAACAAAGCCGTGTAAGTGTCGAGCATTTGTGTGTACGGAGCATGTTTAAGAGGGCAACAGAAGGGCAGGAGGCGAGTGGCGGCCCTGCAGCTGTCCACACATTCACACCTTACTGCGAGAAAACACACACAAAGACGGTAACACAGACAGACAGAAGGTTGCTTTAGCAGCTTTAGATTATGGCTTATTAAGGTGTTTTTAAAGTCTAATCACCAATGGCTCACACAATATGCTGCCACCTGTAAGGCTAGCAGTGTTGCTGCTTTTGCTTTGCTATTCAAACTTGGTAAAAGAAAAATAACAACAAAAAAAACCCAACCTGGTTTCTTTTACTTCTCATTTTCTACTGGTTCTAAAAAATAAACAACAAAGAACTGCTTTGGCATGTAAAATGTAACTTAACACTTCTATATTCTCTACAGTTTTGCTGGTTGAAGCGTTGCCTGAACAATTATTCCCTCTGGTTTTGTTTGCTGTATAGATTAAATGACTGTTGCCATCAGATTTATTTTTTTGTTGTTGTTGTTGAACTTTCAGATAATTGCTATGATGCGTAGCCATAGCAACAAGATTTTTTCAAACCTTTTTTTTTTTAATCCCAAATCAATCACAATGGGCAACGTTCATAACCTTGACTGAAACCTCCATCTGCCCGGCTTTCTAACCGTATATCCTGTTAAAAATTACAAGCGGCAAAAGCAAATGAGGTGGATTAGCAGTGCTTACAATTGATAAAGTCACAACAGGATGTATTACTGTGCAAAATTGTCTCTTTTGCATGGAAAAGGTACTTGGATGACATGAGTAACATGTAACTCAACATGACTGCTAACACTCTATTAAAATGGCATCTTGCAAATACACAGTTATCTTAATCTATTATATCCATATTATGGTTTGTTTCCTATGTCATGGTGCAATAAAACACTTTAACTTTAGGGTCATGCAGAGGTTAAGCTGACATTCTTGGCTGGTTATATTTAAGAGTGCTTAAGGGAAGAAAGGTGTCGATGACGTTTTGTTAAAGGTGAGGTGAGCATCCCTTAAGGCAGTGCTTCTCAATTATTTTCCGTTACGCCCCCCCTAGCAAGAAGAAAACTATTCGCGCCCCCCACTTCCCACCGTGACTATCCATCTCTGCATAACATTTTCATTAACATTAAAGAAACATTTCATTAACATTAAAGAAAGACATATGGTCAAACTTACAAAGAATAACTTTATTAAATCGTGTTTTAAGTCTGCAACAGAAAAGATTTTAAGTGCATCAATGCCTAAAATTAAAAATAAATAAATCCATGTCTACTGCTGCAGGCAGTATCAGCTCCTCTGCTGGTGTGGGGCTTTTTGCACTGCGTAATTTGGTACGCCACCTTATATGATGCTAGCAGCGCTCGATGGTTTACTGAAGTAGCCTTCACAAAGCGGGATGACTGTTGGCAATATTCAGCAAGTTTTCGCTGAAAAAACTCTAGCGGCTCATCGGCGTCATTGGCATGTAACGTATTTAAGTGTCGCGCTAATTTATTTGGCTTCATGCTGTCCGCTGCGAGCATTTTTAGACACAGCAAACACACCGGTCTTTCCTCTTCTCCAACTGTAGTCACAGTGAAGCCAAGCGCTAAATAAGATTCGTCGTATTTCCTCTTCTTAGCTTTCGGTTGACTTTCTGTTGTCTCATTATCTTTGTCTCTCTCCGCTTTTCTTTTCATCCCTGTTAAAAACTTTTTCATGTTGGGGGTTGTTGAATAACGGAGGCCATAGACAGAACGCAGTCGGAGCTTTTTGTTGACTTAACACTGCTAACCAAGGCAAACCTGTTGTCTTGTAAGTCATAAAATGTTGCACTGTCGCAAACATAAAGATGAGGAATCTTTATGTTGCAATATGGTTAAAAACTGATTTTCCCCCATTCAAAACAAATATTTACAACAATTTTTGTGAAATGATTAGAACATTTCTCCAAACCGATATAAATATCTGTATTGATCCCGATACTGAAAAAATTCTAGATCGACCAATAGGGCCAGATCTATTCAGTCTAATTCTACGCTTTGTGCTCTGAGGAGCATCAAACTTTATTATTTATTTTACTTTATATTTAGGATTCCTAATTCCACTTTCTAAACCATTTGAAAGGTTTGTTGCAGTTTATTTTTGACAGGTTTGACCAACGTGGTCAACCTGTTTGGCAACTTCAGTTTTTATGTATTTAATTTACATTTGTTGTTATACTCCTCTAATTGGACTGACTTTTCACCTTTAAATAAAGACTAAAACCCACCTGCTTAAAGTTGCTTTTGAACCATAATTAATGGGACTTTATCCAACATATTTGTTGTTCAGTGATGATTTTAATAACAGCACTTCACAATATGTCATGTCTGTTACTGGTTTTCACATCTATTCACAATACAGAATACTTTATTGGGGATAATCAAGGGGAAATTGATTATTTCTTGACAAGCTACTCCATCCAAGGTGTTAAAAATTAACAAATAAAACTATATAACCATAAGTAATATTTAACAAATATGTTTGTGATTTTTTTTTATGTCTTTATGATCAAAAGCACTTTGAACTGCTGTGTTGATGAAATGTGCTATACCAATCAACTTGATTGATTGAACAAATGTAAGTTTTTACATGTTTGACAAAGCTTGTGAAGCTGCTTGGATATGTAAGTGTGCTGTACTAGTGCAGCATTATTAAATTAATAATAAGAAAAAAGAAACATTTTAATTAAACTCAGCCGTTTTTCTGTACTGGAGCGACTGATAACAAACCTCACATATTTGATAATTAAGAGAAGAACAGTCAGAAAAAGAGACTTCCCATGTTTCATTGTGATATGGAGGATTTATACAGTTCCTGTACGCACAGAAAAAAACAAATGCACGACAAAAACAAGTCAACCTGAAGAAGTGGAGAGAGACATTTCAATGAAAAATAAACAGAAGTTATTGTTGAAAAGCAGCAGGAATACAGTATAGCAGTGATGTATGGAATTAAAAAGCAGAAAGGAGAGGAGGATGTTAAAACAAAATAGAAGAGGAGCAAAATGGGAAAGAGGAAAAGACCATCTGCCTTGCAGTATTGGGATACTTGGAAAGGTTTGTGCTGGGTGGTATCTGTACGAGTGATATCATGATGTTGGTATTTGAAAATATCAGAATACACAGTGCTGGAACTCCCCTTCCCTGAAACCCAGAAAACAACCAGTGAGAGTAAAACTGACACACAGCGTTATTCTGCTTGACACAGCCGAACCTGGACCCAAAATGTACGGCTCCATCCACTTTGTTTTCATCAATCTGCTGATCGACCAGTCAAAGTAACATTTACGTTAATAAAAACAGTCAGCATCAAAATGTATTTAACTGGTTTAGCTTAATGTTCTGAATCAACAGAAAGCTGAACTGATAATGTAAGAGACAACATGCTGCTCCAAACCCAAGACCGCCACTCCCCAGAATCAGCAGTCATTGGAAAGAAAGCGCTGGTTCTGCTCCAAGTTATGACCAAAGGTTGGATCATATCAGCACCAGTAACAAAGAGCAACCTGCTGGTGAAAGTACTTTTATAGCACCTTCAGATAATTATAAAGACTGATCGGTTAAGTGGATGCTGCTGTAAAACTGGTTTAAAAAAACTGACTGTAACCTGCATTAAGTTTTACAGACAGACAGAAGCCAGTTTTGTGAGCTGAGGAGCCTCCTGATTGGACGAGAGCCAGGAACAAGTGTGGGAATCCGACCAGAGTCACAGACTGATTTCCCACAGTGTGTAAAAAGAAAAGCAGCTGATTAGAATCAGATTTAGTGGGCTGAAACCGTTGGAAGAACGGCAGTTCTGGCCAAGTGAACTGTGGCTGTAGCAACCAGGTCTGGAGAGGTAGTGATAAATCCAGAAGCTTTATAGGGTTCCATCACACAGGATTAAGACTGTGCTACACATCCGTGACCCCAACGACCCGGCCGAATGCGACTGGACCGTGGCAGATCTGAAAAGCTCCTTAAGAGTCGAAGCAAAAGGTTGTCTTTCCCAGATACATGTTGACCTCGTCAGGATCTGGAGAATGTCCTTGTTCAAAGGGGAGGTTTCTGCTTCATCACCATCAGTTTCAGTCCTGCAGTGGAGGACGAAGTACGATCATTCATCAAACGACTGGCTTTTGAGTTGAAACTATTTCAAACTAAAATATTGCTGTTTGTAACACTCCAAAATTTATTAGGTCGATAAAAAAATCCACTATTTTCAAATCAAACCCCCTTTCCAGCCCGTCGCAAAATGTCACTATATCCGTTCATCTTTCCAGTGTTTCAGTAATCCCCAATTATCTATGGAACCTCTGTAGAAATGTGGATGATAACATTAGCCGTCTGTGCTGCGGCTATATATTTAGCATTGAGATGCTATTTTAGGCTTTAATATCTGTGCCTTACCAAAAGGTCTTACTTAGCTTTGGTACGCTAACTCCTTCTATCACAACAATAGTTGTTTCTGGCATCACATCAGATTGTTTTTCAAAGGAAAAATGAACTCCTAGTCGTCCATCGCTGCTGTTTGCGCATATCCCTGGTGTGTCAAATTGATTGCAAAACCAGAAACACAAGGAGGGTCCGTTTTGTATTTCTTCATTACAAAAGCTTTACTATGAGAAATTAGGAATAGTATAGTTTTCAGCTTAACCAGATCTTTTGTAAGCACTCACCACTCTTCATTGTAGATGCTATTACTGATGGAGGAAGACTCAATGTTAATACTATCTCAGGGAGGCGTTTAAACTAAAGTCAGATCAATCTT